GAAAACAAATCGATTTCAATTTTGTTGTTTTTATTAAATTCGTTCAATATACCCAAACGTGGCAGTAGATGATGATTTCATTTCGAATTTCATATGATTCATATTTTTTTTTTCGTTTGTTGTAATGTTTTTTTTTTTTTTAAATTATTATTATTATTATTATTATTATTATTATTATTGTTAATTTTTAAAAATATTTTTCAAATTGTTTGTGTTTGTTTTCATTTTCGCGTAATTTTTCCCCGTCATTTTTGCTACATTTGACGCCATTTTCATGAAAAATTTTCTTTACCAAAAATGGTTTTTAAAAAAAAATTTTTTTTTGTTATTATTACGTCATCAATTTTGGTTTTTTTTCGTAAAATGAAAGTGGAAATTTCTGAACGCGTTTTTAAATATTAAGAGAGGAGGATATCACCCGGAGGAAGGGAGGAGAGGGAGGGAGGACGAAGAAAATTTTGCGGGAATTTGCACGCGCTCGCGCACACGTGCCTATAATATATCTATATATATATATATGAGGCATTACGTCTCGCGTAAAAATTTATGTCGTCTGCTTCGTTTCTTTTGCCTACCTACCAACCTACCAACCTACCTCATACTATCCGGTCGGATTTCGTTTCGTTTTGTGACGTCACACATACCTTCTTAGTGTGTAATAAATTTTTTTTTTTAAATTGGGGTTTTTATATATTTTTTTGAAATAAGCAGAAGACGGAGAAACTGCGAAGATGATAAACGAGAGGGAGAAACGGTTCGATCGGGGGGAGTGGGGGATGTGGGGGGAAGGGGAAAACGTATAAAAAATCCTTTCGGGTCATTACCGTCCGTCGGTAGATTTTTTTTTTTTCCTTCTTTTTTGTCGAATTGAAATTATTTTAATAATAATAATAATAATGATAATAATGATGATAAAAAACCACTCGAGGCCATCCATTTTTTTTTTTTTTTTGTATATCCCCGAAATCCTTTTTTTTTTAAGGTACGCGGACAGGTAAAAAAAAATGTAGGATCGCCGCGGTCGCGTACGAGAGAGAGAGAGAGACACACAAAGGAGGAAATCGTGGCACAGACAAACGACGTCACCACCTCGCGAGTAAACCTATAATAATAATAATAATGGAAATCAATAAAAATATATGGATGATGATTATAATAATATAATGATGATGATGATATGTTGTTGATGATTATGACGAACTTGAAACTGCTACGGCGATAATGATAATGATGATGATGATGATGACGACGACGACGATGATGATGATGATCGTTGGTACCGAACCTCTTAAACATGGGTTGTTCTTTTTGGTTGTTTTGGTTGTTTTGATTGTTGTTACGTCGATTGTTTTACATTGTCTTCTAAATATATTCATTGTTTGTTTGTTTGTTTGTTTATTACGAGTTCGGTTGTAGATTATCGGTTTCATACTCAAAACATTGTGTTGTTACTATCGTGACGTCATATCGTCGTCGTCGTCGTCAAGTAATGAGATTTGACATCGATCGAAGAATTCTGCACAACAACAACAACAGGTTAAAAATAGTTTGTCGTTTTCTTTGATGACGTCATTAAAAAAAAAGAAAATTTTTTTTTCTTTCTTTCGATAATGAATAATAATGATGATGATGATGATGATATTGTTGCGAGGGAAAATTCCAGGGTTAAAATTTTATCAAACTAGACGTAATAAAGTAATATAATGTAATGTTGTTGTCCTTTTTCATCCTTTCGATCCTTCCAACCTTCCATCCATCCTTCGTTTCCACTTTTCGATTTTCTCTTAATTAACATTAATTACACGAAAATTAAATTATCTATATTTTATAGACAAAAGAAAATTTTTCCGAGAGGAATAGATTCGTCGTTCTCGTCGTTCTCGTTCTTGCCGTGCAAAATTTTTTCTATTGACACGATTGCTTTCTTACGACGATTTTTTATTTTTTAATTTTTGTCATTCGAATATATAAACGGTGATGTAAAAATGTTTGATTATTTTCTGTCTCTCTCTCTCTCTCTCTCTCTCTCTCTTACTTTAATTGTCGATAGATTGCTGCGAAGGAAATGAGAATGAACGTGGAAAAAGAGGAGGATAAAAAACGGAAGGAGGTTAAAAAATAAAGAGATGGAAATAAAAAAAAATAAAAAAAATATGAAGAGAAGAGTTTTTTCGGGCTCCCAACGGGGGGTGGGGGAAGGGGGTAGGAGGAGGCATCAGCCAATTTGCAAGAATATAATCGAGTTAGTGAAAACAAGATGACGATGAAATAAGGGAGAGTGAGTGAGAGAGAGAAGAGAAAAAAACTTGAGGGAATATGGAAGCGACGGTGATGGTAGGGGCGGAGAGTGGGGGAAAAGGAAAAGGGAAAAATATTAAAGATTGGGAGGATTTTATAAGGGTGAAAATAGGAAATGAGCGAACTCTGTAATTGGGCCTTAAGATGAACGAACTTGACAGGAGAAAATCATATTTAAATAAAAAGTGTTTTTCTATTTTACTCGATTTTATTCGTTTATTCCGTAAGGTATGGGTGGGGATGATGACGACGGCGATGATGATGACGATGGGGGTGGTGATGGTGGTGACGGCGGAGACGGGGTTGGGGAGAAAACGATTGAAAAATGGCGGAAAAGTAAAAAAAAATATTAAAAAATTTCTCTCTTTCTCTTTCTCATTCCCTCTCTCTTAACGTGACGATACGTAATTAGCAGAAGAGAAAAAAGTCGTGGCAATAGAGTGTTGTGTAGGAACAATTTTTTTTTTTTTTGTTTCGTCTCTCGTTTGCACAAATAATTTAACGGACGAAAGACAAACAAACAAGTTGGACAAATATCATCATCATTTCCAAATGTCCACGAGGACGATTTATTATTTCCCTCCCTTCCCCCCCCTCCAAGTTTACTTTTATTTGATTGATGACTTTTTTTTCTCTCTCTCTCTCTCTTTTTTTCACTCCCTTATTTTTTTTTTTGTCCACCTCTCTCTCTCTTTTTGTTTGTTTCGGACATTCTGTCGCCGATGGTTCAAACTCCCCATCGCGTATTTTATATATATTTAATTTTTTTTTTTTGTTACTCTATGACGAAAAGAAGAATAATCATAGAATAATAAGAATTTCTCTACCTCGCATTAAAAAAAAGTAATAATAATAATAATAATAATAAATATCAAAGACGAATTTTTTTTTTAATTCGAACCGTTCTTTGTTAAAGAAAGAAAGAAGGAAAAACAAACGCGAGAGAGAGAGAGAGATAGAAAGAGAACGACAAACGAACGACAAAGACAGCAACAACAACAACAAGTTATCGTCTTAAAAGCAATAAACATTTATACAGTTTAATAATAAAAAGTAGATTAAAATTATTAGTAAAGACTAGTTGTGTAATGACGTAATTAAAATAAAAATGGCGTCCTATTAAGAAAAACCGATAGACGAAGTTAATGCGTCTCGTAAAAAAAAAAAAAATTTTTTTTTTTTTTTAAATTTTCCTTTTTTATTTTTATATTTTTCTTTCCTTCCTCTTTAACTATTATTATTATTGTTATTACTATCGTTTATTATTATTATTATTATTATTTCTTCTTCTTTTTCTCTTATTATTCATCTTTATTAGTTTGTTTTAAGTAAACGAGGAAGGGAGGGGAGGGATTCGAACGAACAAACGGAAAAATTCAAATTTTTTTCCCGCGTAAAATGAAAACGCGAAGATGTGGCGGAAGAGGAGGAGTGGGGGGAAATTTTTTAATAGTTTTACTTCCTTTTTATAATGATTACGATTAACGCATGAGGAAGAGAGAGAAAGAGAGAGAGAATGTGAGTGGTTCGACATTCGAAATGTAATAAAATACATCTGGTAAAAGAATTAATTTTGAAAAAGGGAAAAAGGAAGGTGAAAAATAAAAGTGGAAGGAGAAGAGTAAGAGTGAAAGGAGTAGTTTTGGAAACAACATTATCGAAGTACGAAGAGAGAGATAGAGAGAAAGAGAGAGAGGAAGAATATCAGAATCAGGTGTTCATTCGAATGTTGCGGTTGTATATAAATGAAGAATAGTAGAAGAAGATAAAGATGGCGGCGGCGGCCGCGGTGGTGGTGGTGGGGGTGTAAAAACGGACGCCTCATTGAGGATCATAGAAAAAACCGCAAAAACCTTCTTCTTCTTCTTCTACTTCTATTCACGAACCACGTGAATTTCTAAATTTGATTTTCTCTCTCTCTTTCTCTCTCTCTTATCATCTATTCTATCTCCTCTTCTTCTTTACCCTTCCCTCTCGGCAAATTGATTACGTAATCGATTTATTGATTTCGAACGAAATCGAATTCGATTCGATTTTAGATGTGAGAGGAACCATCGTGGAAGTGGCAGCAGAATAGAATTAATTTTTTGTTTATTTTCCGCCATAACATTTTCATAGTCTATTTCCACGTTTTCCGGCCGATTAACCGTCGTTTCAACGATCGTGAAAATTTTTTTTCTTTGTCATTATCGATTTGTTTGTCCTTTTCTTTTTTTCTTCTCTCTTTCTCCCTCTCTCACTTTCCCTCTCTCTCTCTCTTTCTCTCTCTTTCTCTCTCTTTCTATTACTTTATTTCATTATATATTTCTCTTCTTTTTTTTTTTTTATTGCTTTGTTTTTATTATCTGCCTAACTATTATTCTTCCTTTTATTCTTATTATCCTGTGAGGAGTAGGGGTAGTGGTAGGGGGGGTGAGGGAAGGGTAGAAAAAGAGAGAGAAAGAGGAGGGGAGAGGGGGAGAAGGTGTGGAAAAAGTGAATGACACGATTGTAATTAATTTAAGTTTTATCGTATCCGCGAAATTAATTTTTTCTAATTGCCATTATCGTTTGTGTGACGAGGAGAGAGAAAAAAAAAAAAAAAAAAGGTTGACGACGCCATTTTGAATTTATCATCATTCGTTTTTCTTTTTCTTCTTTAAAATCGATTTTTTTTCTTTTGAAACCGGAAAAGGAAAGGAAATGCGTGTTCGTGCGTTCGTTCACGTATTGGAATAACATTTGAGGGAAAATTCTGCGGTTGGAGGTTGTTGTATCGTACGCGGTCGTGGCGGTGGTTCCTGCGGTTGTCCACTTTTTGACACATCTAAAACCACGACGATGTCCTTCCGTATGAAAAAAAAAAAAAAAAATGAGTCGCGCGTTTCCTTTTTTGTCAAAACTTTTTTTACTAAATTAATTAAATCGATTATTCCTTTGACGATGATTTTTCCTTACGAATAAGTGTAAATAATAATAATAATAATGTTGAGGGGAGCGGGAGGGGAGGTTTCCGGTTTAATGTTCGTGTCACAACATGAAAATTTTCCTTTCGTAAAAATTATTATCATTTATGAAAATGACTGACAGATGATGATGAATCGTAATAATGTGTTCGTACGTACGTATCTGTTTCCGGTTTATGTTTTTTCCCCGCCCCCTCTTCTCCTTGCCTCACCGTCGACGCCGTCGCTGACGCCACCGATTCGGTCGAGTGGTGGTGCCTGAAAAAAAAAAAAAAAAATTTACCTGGCGGGTGTAAAAAAAAAAAAAAAAGGAAAAAATTTTCTGGTTTATTTAAGTGAGTGAGAAAAAGATTTTTATCGTTTCTCTCTTCTTTTTTTTTTTTGACGCCTCTTCCGTTTCCCCTTCTTCTTCTGCTTCCTTTTTTACCCCCCCCCCTCAGGTCTCCCCTCTTCCGAATTCGTGTTTTTCGTCACATCCCTTCTACTACTATTTCTCTTACTAGTTTTCTACTTTTCGCTTCGTTTTTTCCGCTTCGATTCTTCATTCATTCATTCAATTCTAACGTTTTTTTTTTTTTTTTTCGTGTCATTAGCGAAACTATTATTACGTATTCCTCCTCCCCGTTCGAAATCTCGTATTATTATTATTATTATTATTATTAGTTATTTAAAAAATTTAAAAGAAGGACAAAGAAAAAAAAAATTAATACGTGTATTTGCGTGTCGAGTGTTTTAAGGGTTATTCTTCTTTTACGTCATAAAAACCGGTTAGGGGTAAAAGGGTGAGTGAGAGAGAGAGAGAAAGAAAATATTTGGAAAAGTAAGAAATCATCGTAACAAGATCTTTGTCGAGATTTAAATAATAACGGCGAAACATGTCATCGTAGAATTATTATTTTTGTATCAAGATACGGAAAGATATACGTTTGTGCGTTGGGTTTCGTCGGGGAACTAGACTTTCTTGACTTTTTTTTCGATACTTTCGAGTGTTGACAGCATTATTATTATTATTATTATTATTAACACTTTATTACGAATTACAATTCTTTTTCTTTTCTAAGTAATTTTTTTAAGTAAAAATCGCGAACGTGCCACGTCAAAAAAAAAAAAAAAAAATAGAAGAAGAAAAGAACCACGACGAAATGAACACGCATAAAATTATTTTAAAAAAATAAGGGTTGACGATGTCATGAGAGAGAGAGAAAGAGGGTTGAAAGCGTGCGTGCGTGCGTGCGTACGTCATGCGTTTGATAAAATATATGTATATATATAATATTAATTAAAAAAAATAAATTTAATAAAATTATTATTTATTTATTTTTTTTTTTTTTTGGTTGTCGTCGTCGTTGGCGTCATTGGCGTCGTCGTCGTCGTCCATTTTGTTTCGAATGATATATGTATATGCAGATGGTTTTGTGTAAAATTTCAACCCCAGTTAAATAAAAAAAAAAAAAAAAACAAACGCGCGCGCGTGTGTGTGAGTGTAATTTTATATATATATATATATATAATAACGTTCGTTAACGTACGTATGATATGTGAGGAGTCTGAAATGTGCCAGTTTGTCCGTTTGTTTGTTCGTTTGTTTGTTTGTTAGTTTGTTCGTTGGTAGGGTGGAGTAGAAAGAAAAAAAAGTTTTTTTTTTTTTTAATTTCTTTAATTTCGTTTCATTAATATTCAATTATTAATTTTTTTTTGTTTCGTTTCGAATAGAGATGGGGAGGGAGTGGAGGGGACGTGGGGGGAGGAAGAGGATGCGATGATGAACAAAGGCTTGTTTATGCACGCACACACTCGCACGCACACACTCGCACGCACGCACTCACGCACGAATACGTACGAAACAGATTTTTTTTTTTTTTTAATGGCGGGTAACGTAATTGAAAAAAAAAAAAAAAAAAAAAAAAAAAAAACTGGATAAAATTGTTAATTTCCTACGGGGTCAAAAGTCAAAAGGGAAATGATGGTAAAAGAAACAACAATTGCGAGAGTCTCCTAAGGTTCGAACCAGAAGTCATCATCGTATCAGTTGGTGGTAATACCCATTCTCTCCAAAGGGTCGAACATGTCGAACACCAGGATTCTCTCTATCCTATTAAAAAAAAAAAAAAAAAATCATTAAAAGTCTAGATTATTATTATTATTATTATTATTATTATTATTATTATTATTATTATTATTATTATTATTATTAATTTCGTATCGACGAGTCGTAGTCGTCGTCGTCGTCGTTTTTGTATTAATCGTTTATTTTAATTTTTTTTTTTTTTTATCGACGACGATGATTGATAAAATTTGTGATGATTTTCCTGCTGTTGCTGTTGTTGCTGCTTCTGGTGCTGCTTCTGCTGTGAGAGAACAAAGACAAAAAAATTGTTTTTAAAATTCACTTACGGAACGATCGTTTAAAAATTTAATTATTATTATTATATTATTATTCATCATCATTATCATCATCATCTTCATAATCATCATCATCGTCACTATTATTATTATTATTATCATTCAAATAAATGAGAATTCGATGGAATGAATCGATTGAAAAAATCGATTATAATTTTTTTTTCTATAACGTGGCATTAGATTAAAATATTAGACTGACGTGTCGTAAGAATGAGTGAGTAAATAAATGAAATAATGAAAAAAGGTGACGTTTTTATATAAAGGTGGAATAAGAAAAATAAACGAGGACGCGATAAGGGTTGAATATAAATAAAGAAAAATTGTCCGAGAGGGATGATGATGACGATGACCAAACAAAAATGGCGGCGGCGGCGGTGGTGGTGGTGGTGTTAGCGACGGCGGTTATTACTCTCTCTCTCTCTGTCTTTGTTCCAGTTTTTTTTCTTCATTTCTAGTCACACCGTTTGTGAAGGAGGAGGGCAGGGGAGGGTCATAGCATGGCGATAACGCAAGTGTTAGAATTTTTTCTGACTTGAGAAACGTCCACGACGACTACGACGATGATAATAATAATAATGATAATACTAAAATAAAAAAGAAATTATTTGTTTATCAGTCAGGAGTCTTGTGGTGTGTGTGTGTGAGAGAGAGATAGATAGACAGATAGAGGTTGTGTGATGTATGCTAAAAAGTCACGAAATTTAAATAAGGAAATGGCGAGAAGGAAGGGTAACGATGGTGGTGGTGGCGGAAAGTGTAAAAGAACACGAAAGGGAAGAAGTTTAAAGAAGGAAGAAGAAGGAAGTACTCCCCTCCCCTCTTTATTCCCTGGAAAATGAAGGGTAGAACGCGCGAGAAGGCAATTACACTCACACAGAGCGAAAGAGACGCAGAGACGCAGACCTACCAACCTACCAAACTTAAATACTATTTATTATTTTCTATTGGATTTTATTTTTAATGGATCGTTTGTTATGCAAATTTTATTCTTTTATTTTCTTGTTTTTTTTTTTTTGTTTTGTTTTGTCTTTCCCCCCCCGTCTCTCTCTCTTCTCTCTTTGTCTCTCACTTTGTTTGTTCTTCTTCTTCTTTTTGTTGTTGTTGTTTTGCTCGTCGTCTTTGTCGTCGTCGTTTTTTTTTTTTTTTTTACTTCTCTTTTACTTCTCTTATTTATTTTCAACCCTTTTCTCTCCTCTCTCTCTCTCTTTCTCTAACGGTTGGTTAATATAAGTTTAATCATCATCATCATCATCACCTTTTGGGGGGATAAAAAAAAAAAAAAAAACATGAAACGTAAAAATTTTCCAGTCGGTTGTTTTAAAAAAAAAAAATCCATTCGTTTGTTGTTGTTCTTTCGTTTCGTTTCGTTTCGTTTTTTTTTTTTTTTCGCGTGCGTGTCAATAGAAAATTTTCAACACCTTTTACCATTTATTATTATTATTATTATTATTATTATTATTATCTGATTTTATTTTAGTTTTTTTTTTTTTTTTTTTTTTTTTTGTTAATACCTTGTTTGTTAATTTTCCTTTCGTTTGTTTGTTCGTTTTTTTGTTTAAATTTCTTTAATTTTCGTTTGTTTTTTATAATCGTCGTCTGTTATTATTATTATTATCATTCATGTGAAAATGATTCGTTTTAATTAATTTTCTTTTTTTTTTTTTTTTTTTTTTTTTTGGAAAATTTGTCTACTTACACGTTAAAATTTAGTAACAACCAAAAATTAATCTCCCCTACCTCTTTCTCTCTCTTTTTAAAAACGTAATATAAAAATTCTTGTAATTTTTTTTTTTACAATTTGTTTTGTTTAATAATAATAATAATAACGATGATGTTGATGATGATAATAATAATAATTTTTTTTTAATATCCGGTTGTTGTGCGTGTGCGTTTGTACGTACGTATGGCCCTTTTTTTTTTTTTGGTTAGTTCGTATGAGTCATAGTTTTAATATTTTAATAATGGTTTAGCGGAAAAAGTAATTTTCATTTTTTTTTTTTTATTCATTCATTGTATTTGTTTAAACAATTTTTTTTTTTATACTCCGACCGATTTATTATTATTATTATTATTTTTAATAAATTTATATATATATATATATATATATATATATATATATATATATATATATATATATATATATATATATATATATATTTAGCTTATGTGAAATAATATCAATACGATTTAATGAATGATAAATTTTTCCATTTTTTTTTTTTTTTTGGCTGTTTCACGTTGTTGTTGTTGATGTTTTTGTTGTTGTTGTTGTCTGAATGTTTTCGTCTGCTTGTGTGTGCGTGAGTGCGTGCATGCGCGCCATAATTAGATTGATGGATAGATAGATAGATAGATAGAATTAAATATTTACTTTTAAAAAAATAATAATAATTTTTTTTCTCTCTCTCTCTCTCTCTCTCTATTTCTCTCTTCGTCTGTCTTATCCTTCTGAGAAATGTTTTTTTTTTTTAATATTTCCGGTGATTAAAATAATCTTTTTGTCTTCTGCTTTAAAAAAAAAAAAAAAAATCATTTATTATTATTATTATTTAATTTTATTGCTTTTTCATCTTTTTTTTTTTTTTTCGTGTGCGTGTGTCTTTCTCTCTTTATTCATCTTTTTCTTCTTCTTCTTGTTCTTCTTCGTTTGCATAATTTTTTTTTTTCGTTTTTAATTAAATTACAATTTAGAAGAATGAATGAATGAATGATTGATTAATTTTGATGATGCGGAAGAGAGAGAGAGAAAGAGAGTGAGAGGGGAAAAAATGAAAAGATGATAAAAAAATTGTCGAATTTTATTCATTAATGTTTTGTAAAATGTAAAGGGAAAGAATGAAAGGGAAATTTGTCGCAGATTTGTAAACGTATCGTGTCGCGCGGTTACACACGATGATGCACATGATGATATCTTCTGCTTTTTTTTTTGCGTTTTTTTTTTCATTATTATTTAACGATTTGAAAATATTTTGTTACCTCGATATTCTCATAATCGTTTTCACGGTTACGTTCTTTCTCTCTCTCTCTCTCTTTCTCTCCGTCTCTCTCTCTTCTTCATAAATTAATTTTACACAATAAGTTGTAAAACGTTATACGCGCGAGATCATATAACACAAAAAAATAAATAAATAAATAAATAAAT